TAACTCATAATTATAGGAAACTAAGCAAAAGAAGTAAGTAAATTGGGCATGTATATGTATGAAATTATGAGCTTAACACACGCATTTCAAAGGGGATTCTGATCCTAAGAGCCATTTGAAACACTTCAAAAGTGTTATGATCCTATACAAGGCCGACGATATGCTCATGTGCAAGGTGTTTGCAATGACCTTGCGAGGAGCAGCCCATGATTAGTTCCACACCCTACCATCCGGGTCGATCAGCAGCTTCAAAGAGCTAGCTTACGTCTTCACCAAATAATACACTTCTTACCGGACGATCAAGAAGAACCCTGACCACTTGTTCAACCTGCACAAGAAGTCCGATGAATCCCTCCGAGATTACATCAAGAGATTCAAAGCAGAAATGGCAAACATCATTGGATGTGATGATCGAATCGCGTCATCGACCTTAAAGAAGGGCTTGCCAACTGAGTGTGAGCTGTATCGCGAGGTTACCATCTCTTCCTGCCAAACACTAGTAGAAGTCTTCGCTACAACAGAGCGCTACTCACTTTGGGATGATGACCGGATCTCCGCAAAGAAGGTTGCCAAGCAAGCTGATCAACCAGCTGAGCAGGCAAGCTAAAGGAACGGCAAGATCAACAACAAGGATGAAGGCAAGCGCAGATCACAGCCTTAAGGAGGTGCTTCAGCTACTGAGAGCTACACCAAGTTCACTATTCCGATACACCAGATCCTGGCCCAAGTAAAATAGGGGTTTAGTTGAAGAAACCATCGCCTTTGAAGGGAAACCCAGCCAAGAAGGATACCAGTAGATACTGTGCATTCCATGAAGGGCACTGTCATTACACAAACGACTGCTTCACCTGGAAAAAGCACCTCGAAGAACTGGTCAGAGACGGCCATTGCACGGAATTCATCGCAAGGAGAGCTATCCAGCAAATCAAGGATTGTGACGCAGCTGCCAATGAGCCTCCACGAAAAAAGTCATAAAAATCAACACGATTCTAGCCAACTCCAAGAGCCCGGGCTAACCACCAGGGAGCAGAAGAGAAAGATCAAGCAAGCGACTTTCGTCTCCCAAGCCGTCACCAGCAACCTAGTCATGGAAGACGATATTGGCATCATCTTTTAAAGGGAAGGAAGTTCCAAGACAATGGAATAACCATCACCTCCAGGGGTACTATCCACGAAGCTCCTCACTTATCAGCTCGGCACCAAGCAGGCGGCCAAGCCTCCCTCAGCTCCATTGAAGACAAGTTACTTTTGATGTTACCCATGCAACTCATGTCTTTTGTTCAATAAAGCAATGTAGTCACACAAACATCAATACAAGTTCAATCTTTTCTTTCCAATGGAGTGTTCACGATAGCAATCGACATGTCTCTTGACGTAGGCCAAACGGGTCATACTCATCGACACGTCTTCGGACGTAGGCCAAACGGGTCACTCTCATCAACACGTCTTCGGACATAGGCCAAACGGGTCACTCTCATTGACACAGACGTAGCAAAACAGGCCACTCTCATCAACAAGTCCCTAGACGTAGGCCAAACGGGTCACACTCATCGGCATGTCTCTGGATGTAGGCCAAACGAGCCACTCTCATCGACACGTCTCCAGACGTAGGCCAAACGGGCCACTCTTATCAACACGTCCCCGGACGTAGGCGACTCATTGACACGTCTCCGGACGTAGGCCAAACGGGCCACTCTCATCGACATGTCCTTTGACGTAAGCCAAACGAGTCACACTCATCGACACGTCTCTGGACGTAGGCCAAACGGGTCACTCTCATTGATACGCCTCCGGACGTAGACCAAATGGACCACACTCATCGACACGTCTCCAGACGTAGGCCAAACGGACCACTCTCATTGACACGTCTCTAGACGTAGGCCAAACGAGTAACTCTCATCAACATGTCCCCGGACGTAGGCCAAACGGGCCGTACTAATCGACACGTCACCGGATGTAGGCCAAGCAGGCCACTCTCATCAGTACGCCTCTAGACGTAGGCCAAACATGCCACAACCCAGAAACACTCAAGCAGTTCAGAAGACACTATGCAAATTAAAGTTGAAAAAATAACTGAAATTTCCATAGCAAGGTGACCAGCCGGCCAAGTTCAACAAAAAGAAGATGGTTAAACAAAACTGATTATTCTAAACAAGAAATCGGACTACAAAAGCTGGAAAGAAATAAAGAAGTCTTCATCTACTCTGAGACGCCGGCAACAAACACTTGATCTGCAACCTCTTCAGCATCCGCCTGATCAGCCACTCCTTCAGCAACTCCACCTGCCTACTCCGTGACATCTGCTGCCATCTCATCGGCTACATCCTCCTCTGCTCCATCCTCTTCAGCTACCGCCTCTTCAATCCCTTCCATGTTCACAACATTAACCTGCTCACTTTGCACAGGGAACAAGTCTGGGCAAAGCACCTCAATGTCGCCATCTTCAATTGCATAGAAGGGAGCAGTCCCATTTATGCAGTGCAAGTAGCCCAACTTGTACGCATCTATGGTGGGTTCAAACTTGGATTTTTCAGCAAACTTGTGATAGGCGCCAAATCTAGCCAGAAGCTTGTCATAACTAAAGAAGAGGTCAACATTCTTGCGCTCAAGACGGAAGTAGGCATCTTTTCGACTAACCAAGTGAGCAGCAGAAGAAGGGGCAACAGCAGACGAGTTTCGAATAGTTTTAGTAGCAAAAACTACTCTTTTTTGAAGTAGATGAAATGTTGCTTCCCTTTGTTTTTCCAAGGAAAGACTTGAGACTGTCTCAAGATCACCAGCCTGATGGATATGATCAAACAGCTTAAAGCAAGCAGACGGGCTTGACAGGAGGTTCGTCTTCAGCAGATTAGACACGCTTGCATCCCCTGCAGGGCTGGACTTGTCCACCTTGGGATCAGCCGCTGACGTTGTAGAAGAACCCTTCACCCAGACAAATGACTCTCTCGTCTTCTTAGCCGCCGCCATCCTTACCTCCAAAGGAGTCGACGATGCTGAATTAACTCCATGCTTGACTGCTCGTGACTCAACAGCTGGATCACGATAGTTGGGCGGATGAGCACACCTCCCAGTTCAGTCTCCATCCCCTGACTGGTGTAGATGACTTGAACTTTGGAGAGGAATACCAACATCTCTTTGCCTCTCGGTAGGTGAACTAGATCGCGAGCGGACCACTTCAGGGAGCATATCACAGTTTTCAAGCTTGTTAGCAAAAGGCTTGAGTGGAACATCTCGAGTGTTTCGCATAGTGCCAACCTACTTGCTATCTGCGCTGACAAGGTGCTTAACCCTAGTAGATTTTCACCCTCTAAATTGCGCCATGTGTCATCCTTATCGGCCTAAATTATTCTATAAAACCAGAGGCTTAGCTCATACCTCTCACACCACATCTTCTCTTTATTTTCATTTGTCAGATTTTAGAATTCATACTCCATTCTCAATGGAAGACATGAACGAGGTGTTGGAGAGTCAAATGCGAGAAACTAGAGAAAGAAGGCGTAGACGAGCTTCAGGCAAAATGGTGCAGAGGGAACTAGATCAGCAAATTGCCACAGCAGTGGCTTTGCTTGATGAAGAAAACCAAAGCCGCCGTGGTTCACGAGAAGGCCATGGCCCGAATATGGACAGACATAGACATTCTTGGGGTAAGAATGTTCTAGAAGATGATTTTATCCCAACTTCTCTGTACTCTGATGTTCATTTTCGAGCGCGATATAGAATGCAACCTCATTTGTTCAATAAAGTCATGCATGATATTTGCAATTATGATGAATACTTTGTCCAAAAGAAAAATTGTGCTGGAAATTTAGGACTTCTTCCCGAGCAAAAGTTCACTGCTGTTATACGAATGTTGGAGTATGGGTCATCTGCTGATCAGGTGGATGAGATTGCCCAGATGGGGAAGTCCACTGCTTTGGAGAGCTTGGTGAGATCTTGTGATGCAGTCGAAACTCTGTACAACAGGGACTACCTGCGCAGACCTACGCCTAGGGTCCTGCAACGGCTTCTACAAAAAGCCGAAGCTCGAGGATTTCCAGGAATGGTTGGTAGCATCGACTGCATGCACTGGCAGTGGAAGAATTACCCAACTGCTTGGCAAGGAGATTATGAGAATCGGAAAGGGCAAAAAAGTATCATCCTTGAAGCCATTGCAGGATTTGATACATGGGTTTGGCATGCTTTCTTCGAAGTTGCCGAATCTCAAAACGACTTGAACGTCCTGGGTCAATCCCCGGTGTTCAATGATGTTTTGAGAGGTGAATCCCCGAATGTCACCTATGAAATCAACAATACCGTCTACCAGAATGGGTATTATCTAGCTGACAGCATCTACCCGAGGTGGACCACATTTGTGAAATCAATTCTGCATTCGCGATCCCAGAAGCAGAAATTATTTGCTGCCCATCAAGAGGGGTACAGAAAACATGTGGAAAGGTGCTTTGGTATCCTCCAAGCCCGGTGAGCTATTATTAGGGGTGCAGCACGTCTGTTTGATGAGGAGGTGTTGAGGAGCATAATGATGACATGCATCATCCTCCATAACATGATTGTGGTGGATGAGTATGATTACGAGTCTGCAGACGTGTACAAACCGGATCTAATGAACACGGGCTTGACAAGAATATATGAAAAACCCATGGGGCCAAATGGAGAACCAGTGCAGCATGAACCGTTGCTTAGGGACGGTCGTGTAATGGGCCGTATGATTGATCGATATACGGAGATGCAATCGTCTTATATTCATGAATGACGTCATGTTGACTTGATGAAGCATTTATGGGCGGTGAAAGGCAATGATGGCGAATGAAGTGAAGTGAAGAAGTTTATTTTTATTTATTATGTTTATGTTTTATTTTTAGTTATGCTTTGTTTTTTTAATGCTTTGGTTGTGGTTTGTTTATTTTTAATGCTTTGGATGTGGTTTGTCTTTTATGTATGGAATGTGTTGAATAAAAAGGTATTTTATTGAATGCTTTCTAATGAAATAAAATACATGAAATAAAAGACAAGCAAACTAACTTAATGGTTTTCATCATTTAACCAATCTGTGTTGCTAGGAATATCGTCACGAAAAAGTCTTCGTTTCATAACATCCCTTCGTTCTAGCTTCCAAAATTGTTTTGTTTCAGGGGAGGGCTTGTATCCATGGCCATGGATTCCCGATCCGTCTTCTCAATGTTTTGTTTGCGTACATACTCCCTTTCTTTTGCATATTCCACTTGAAATGCCCTCTCATCTTCTTGGGTTTTCTTGTCTATTTCAAATCTCATGGCGCTTTGCTTTGCAATTTCCTCCAAAAATTTAGATGTATTACTAGTAGAATTACTCCTCTCTTCACCTTCGCCGCCTTTCTCCCAATAGGCCTTGGCTCCTTTTGGATGGGTGAGTCTTCACTCATCGGGGAATTGAGAGGCGAATCCGATGCCGTTGAATTATGGAGTGGTGTCTCGGTCAACACAACGGTCGGACCCGAGGGAATAATTCTGAAACGTTTGCAATTTTTTACTACCTCCCAACATTCTTGATGGTTAAAAGATTTTTTCCCTTGCCCAGTAGCACCAAATCACATTTGTGCTTGCATAATCTATTTATAAAAAAATATTGGAAATACAAGAAACATTAAAAAATATTGGCAATGCAAGAAACATTAAAAAATATTGGGAATGCAAGAAATATTAACAAAATATTGAAAATGCAAGAAATATTTATAAAAAAATAATAGGACATTAAAATTAATAAAAAAAAAATTACAAATAATTTACCTCTTCGCTAAGATTTTCCCCGCTTCTACGGTTATCCATTGCTTTTGCCAAGGCATCTCTCCATTTCCCCAACTCTTTATTGAGAATTTCCACCTACTAGACAATGCCATTTTCGTACGGGTCGAACCCGATCTTTCACAAAATTCGGAATGAATTTTTTTCCACATCTGAAAGAATTTCATCTCATTGCCCAAGACGGAACAATGAGAAATTTGGACCCAACACTCACACAACAAAACATCTTCCATGGTGCTCCATGCCCCAACACCGTCGATAGAAGAAGCCATAAAGATGATAAAGAAAAATAAAACTTGAAAGTGAATAAAATGTTTAGTAAAAAGTGAATAATAGTAGAAGTAGAAGAAAATGTATGAGGATTTGGTGTTGAAAGTGAAGAGTATTGGTAGGTATTTATAGAAAAAAAATTCCAGTATTTTTTGGTATTTTTTTTTCATATTGTTATTGCAAAAATATTAGCTGTCGTTGGATTGGAGAAGAGAATCACGATCGGAGCGCCCAAACGACACCACATGTCCCAAAGCCGTTGGCGCAACACAAGGCTGACGTAAGCCATGACGTCAACGCGCGGAGTTCAATTTTTTTTACCCCGTGCGCTGACGTCATGGCTTACGTCAGCCCCCCCTCGTTTTGGATCTCGGGCCAGCCTGTCTTCGTGGCCCCCACCTCTGCCCAGGCCAGCCTTTGTTGCCAGAATCGATTTTTTGGCCCTAACCCCACACAACCCAAGTCCAGCCTTAGCTGCTAGACTTGCTCTTACCTGGCTGGCTGATCATCAAAGTCTAGACCATTCTGCTTCCATCTCTCAACATCCTAGGCAGAAGGCAGACCACCAACTTCCTCCCGATACTCGCTCAGTAGCCACCAGCGGCCATTGCCACTCCAACCGTCTTCAGCCACCAGTCACGACGACAACCAGCCTGGTCACACCCAGTTGTTCCTCAGCCGCGAAAAAGAGAAGAAGAAGAAAAAATATACGTGCTCGACTTAACTTGAGATGCACGACAACTCCTCTCTTCGACAAGGAGTACAAATTCTCTAAGATCTCTCTCAAGCTAGAAAGTAGAGAAGTTAAGTTTGCGATGTGAAGAAGAATGAAGAGAAGCCCTACATTTATACAGGTTGGGCATACTAGGTCAAGAAGGAGTTGCAAGCCCATTGCTACTGGGAACCCAATTCCAAGAACAGTCAAAAGCCCACTCCAATTGGGAGCCCAAATCCAAGAAGGAAGCCCAGACACAGTTGGACAACCCAACAATCAATCCACATCCTCTGCATGCCACCACGCGCCATGCAAAAGCTGGGGGGCATTTGTGGGAACCGAATTTTAGCCAAACCCTAGGTCAAATATTTCCTTCCATTTGGGGATTATTTGATTTGGGGATTCTTGCCTTGAATTAGGGATTTGATTCTCATTAAATCCCTAATTGATTTAAATCTCCTAAAATCAGAAAAATAATTCATTTCCCAACAAGGATTATTTTTCTCCAAACCTTAACCCTACGAGACTCTATAAATACAAGGCTATGCAAGGCATGAGGTAAGCCATTCTAATCTCACAAAAATTCCCTCTTTGCCGCCCTCTCTCTCTCTCCCTTACATAAGGCTCTGGCCACCATACACGACTCCGGCCGCCCGGTTCACACCATACATATATCTTCGTACCCTTTTTAGCTATTGTTTCTCTACGAATCAATTGAACTAACTTAGGCATTGGAGGGCATTTGGCCAACACCCCCCCGAGTGTGGTCCTCTTATTCCAATCTATTTCACAGGGAGAAAGAGACGATGAAGAAGAAAGGGGAATCAATCGATCGAATATTCTTGTGGGATGAAATTTGCTCCCACAACCTTAATTTTATTTCTTCTATATTCCGCATGTTTATTTATCAAGAATGGGTATTGGAATGATTCCAAATCCTACTTCTCCCGTGTTTTACACATGGGTATTGAAATTATTCCAATTCCTCACCTCTTGTGTGTTTTCTTACACATAAGGAATAAAAAATTATGTGGGTTCCACATTAAAACCCGTAAGCAAATATACTCTTAAAATCAATAATGAGATTAACTAGGAGGAGTAGCTGATCTGATTCCCATTCCTTGATTACCCTATCTAAGTTCCCCAAACTTCTCGCATTTCTGATTAGTCAATGTGCCAAATCAAAGAGCAAAGTTGTTCTCTACGAGTCAAGCATTGCAACCTATGATTACAAGTATAACTTGTGAACTATATATATATTTTTCCTACAGTAATAACATATATCATCAAACTTTTCTTGGTTTCTTTAAAAGTTTACAAATATAACTTGTTAAGAATATAAAAAGTTCGCTGTCTTTGTCATAACATATAAGAGTTTGCTGGATGAAAGGGTCATGTTAATAAACATGTAAGAAGATAGAAAACATCATATAAAAAAAGGAGATAAAAAACTTGAATTTCATTAATAAACAAAAAATGTCATCGTTGTCCTCATCACTAGCATGATTTGAGTGTTAAAGGAAAGCGAGTTTAGGGTTTAGGAGACGAAGTTGGTGAAAAGAGGAGTTTGATGTAATAGTAGTCTTGGTAATTATTACGAAGATGGTGGATGTAACAACCCAAACCTTAATTATTATTTAACTATTAATTTAATGAAGGAAAAGACTAAACTACCCTCGAAATAATTTATTAGGTTTTAAGTTGACTTTTTGACTAGGAAAGAATTTGGAAAATCCACTTGTACCATTGCGTAGAGCATGACGAAATGAGTCCATAGACACGTAATGGGCTCAATTCCGAGTTGTATTGAAGGAATTACGAGCAAAATACGTAAAAAGGGTAAAAAGGTAATTTTCGAAATCAGATTTTTTTTTAAATCTGTTTCTTCCTTTCTCTCTCCTCACTCTCCCTCTCCCTCACGTGACCTCTCTCCCTCTGCAGCTTCAGCCGATCACCACCCAATCTCCCAGCCACCATGACGCCACCATCCAGTCGGCTGGACCAGATCAGAACGGAGCCCCACCGCCTCCGCACCTCACCCCAGACCCTCCCAGCCATCCAGCAGCCACGAGCTCGCCGGACAAACCAGAAATCGCGTCAGTTTTTAACAGATTTTCATCAGCTCCGTTCGTCGTCTTCCGGCCACCAAATCGGATGAATTAGGTATGGTTTTTCGACTGATTTTCATGCTCTAGCTGATGGTTGGATAGGTTTCGAGAGATTTTGATGTTTGAAGGGTTGATTTACGAGTTGAGTTTCTGCCGAGTTTAGGACACCGATATCAGCCACTTCCGGCCACGTTTTGGCCATAGTCCAAGAACAAAAGTGGTTCCAAATAGGGTGTATTACTTAGGATAGGAGTTTGGGCCGGTGATTTGGAGAAAATCCGGCCACCGAAAATTGTTAGGCACACCCCACGCGCGGCCGGCGCGTGGGCGGCGCGTGGGCCAGGTAACAGGGGCCACTCTTGGTCCCAGAACAATCCTCGTGTCCTCACGAGTGCGCAGGAGTTTACGGATCTAAATTCGGATAACGTCTGAACCCCGAACGGATCTCGCATAGTGTGCGATTTCCGTGTTCAATACGTTCAGACCGTTGGATCGTAGTCAAACTGGAGTATGTTGATCTAGGTAATTTTAGGATCTTGTAGGATTCGACAAATCGTCAATCGGAGTTTCGGATACTCCGAAAAAGCCAACC